AAAGCTTATCATCACTGGTCATTAGAGAAACGCAAATCAAAATCACACTGAGATACCATCTCACGTCAGTCAGAATGGTGATTATTAGAAAGTCAGGAAACATTTGGGAGGCCAAGGTGGGCACATCACAAGGTCAGGAGTTTGAGACCAGCCTGGCTAACATGGTGAAACCCCATCTCTACTAAAGATACAAAAAATTATCTGGAAAGGGTGGCGCATGCCTGTAATCCCAGCTACTTGGGAAGCTGAGGCAGGAGAATTGTTTGAACCTGGGAGGTGGAGGTTGCAGTGAGTTGAGATTGCACCATTGCACTCCAGCCTGGGCAACAGGGCAAGACTCTGACTTATAAAAAAAGAAAACTCAGGAAACAATAGATGCTGGCAAAGCTGTGGAGAAATGGGAACACTTTTACAATGTTGGTGGGAGTGTAAATTAGTTCATTTTTGTGAAAGACGGTGTGCGGATTCCTCAAGGACCTAGAAACAGAAATACTATTTGACCCAGCGATCCCATTACTGGGTATATACCTAAAGAATTATAAATCTTTCTACTATAAAGATACATGCACATGTATGTTTATTGCAGCACTATTTACAACAGCAAAGACTTGGAACCAACCCAAATGCCCATCCATGATAGACTGGATGAAGAAAATGTGGCACATATACACCATGCAATGCAATGCAGCCATAAAAAAGAATGAGTTCATGTCCTTTGCAGGAACATGGATGAAGTTGGAAGCCATCATTGTTAACAAACTAACACAAGAACAGAAAACCAAACACTGCATGTTCTCACTGATAAGTGGGAGTTAAACGATGAGAACGCATGGACACAGGAAAGGGAACATCATACACCAGTGCCTGTCAAGGGGTTGGGGGAAAGGGTAGGGAGAGCATTAGGACGAATACTTAATGCATGTGTGGCTTAAAACCTAGATGATGGGTTGATAGGTGCAGCAAGCCACCATGGCACATGTATACCTATGTAACAAGCCTGCACATTCTGCACCTGTATCCCAGACTTAAAGTAAAATTTTTTTAAAAAATATTCTAGTTGGGTCTATCTGGCTCTGAAGTTTCTTTTTAAAAAATTATAACAGCCACCCTTTGAAAAGCACTTGCTGTATGGTAGACATTGTCAAGTGTCTTCCGAACATTATTTCAAATCACTCCTTCCACAGTATATAAGTCCATGCAAAACTCAATCTGAGATGAGTGGGGAAGTCATTGGTCAATTTATATGGCATGGTTGAATGAAAATAAAACCACAGTGGAATTTTCTATTGTCATCAATTCCAGAGTGTGGAGAAGCATGGCGGAAGGATAGAGACAGCCTATAAGCAGGAAAAACTAGCTTAAATAAAATCAGGATTCAAGTCCTATTCCTGCCTTCTACAGCATCTGTGACTTTGTACATGCTATATAATCTTTTCAGCTTTCGTTTTTTTCATATATAAATTAGGACCTACCATTTACATTATTGAAGAAGTCAAAGGCTGAGATTCATCCTTGACTCTTTTCATTCATTCCCTGTCAAAACCATCAACAAGTCCTCCTAAGGTTACCTTAAAGATCTATCCCACATCCATCTGCTTACTTCCATCTCCAGTGCCATAACTTTTGTCTGAGCCACCATCATTACTTGTTTAGTCTATTGCAGTGCCTCCCAACTGGCATCCCCACATCCATTCTTGCCTCCTTAAAATATCTTCTCCATAGAATTGCCAGAGTGGGCTTTCTAAATGCAAATCTGACCTCTTTTTCTGAATGTTTTACTTTCCTGTATTACTTTATTTCAAAATCAAGTCACCAAGAAAATGAGTTACTTAATAGGATCATCTCTCTTTCCTCTTATGTCTTCACAAGACTCCCATGCACCCACCGATTGCACTTAGAATAGAATCCAAACTCCTTATTATGCCCATAAAGATTCTTACTGGCGTGTGTCCTGTTTGTGTCTCTGACCTCACACTTTATCACACTTCTCCTCACTCAGTAATCTGCCATTCCAGCCCCCCACCTATGCCTTGAAAATGTCAGCCTCAGGCTTTGCACTTCCTGTGCCTTTTACCTGGAGTTCTTTTTCCCTAGCTGGCTGCTTCTCCTCCTTCAGGTCTCAAAATGTCACCTCTTAAGGGAGAACATCCTTAGCCACCTCCCCACACTTGCTCCATCATATTGCCCTGTTCTGTTTTCTTTTTGGCAGTATCACCATTTGAAATCCTCTTGCTTAATTAATTGACTTTTTGCTTATTGGTTTTTGTCTTTCTATCATAGGCATGTAAATGTCTTGAGAGCCCCAACCTTGTCTTACATGCTCAAAGCACACCTAGAAGATGTTCCTTAAATATCCGCTGAATGAATGAATATATCATAGGTTTTCTATAATAACCAGAGGATAGCAAGTGCAAAAAGCTGAAGTTGGTAGGATATTTAGCTACATGAAGTCACTCAGAGAACAAGGCTGATAGAGACTTTGCCATTTTATGATGTCACTATCTCCATATATGGTTTCCAGGAGCATTGAATAGGGGAAGAGAGTACAGAAAACTCATACTTGCTCTTAAATAAATGCCCTAGACCAGAAGTGGCTTGTGTCACCTCCACATGCAGTTTATTGTTTAGAACTAGAGTTTAATGGCCTCACTCTAGCTTTAAGAGAGGTTGGGAAATGAAAGAGGAGCATGTATAGAATGTTTGGAGAGTTCTCCTTTGTCTGCTGTATACCCCTTGCTAAAGATGAGAAAATTGAGGAAAAGAGGGATAAGAAATCTGCTCAATGCCACAGAGCTGGTAACTGGTAAAAGCTGGACTCAAGCCCAGGCTGCCTGGTGCCAGAGCCTGTCTTCTTGTCCATATCCTCATGTTGCAGTTCCACAGGGGAGACCTACTGAGATGCAGACAGTGTGTCAAGGGCTTTTCCTCCTGTCTCCATTCTTTTCTGAAAAGTGACTGCCCCTTTTGCTTCAGTAACAGAGGTTTTTTGTTTGTTTGTTTTTTGTTTTTGTTTTTGTTTTGGTACTTTGATGCTTTGGGTGTTTAAAGTTTAGCTTACCACAGACAGTCAACTAGCCCTGCCTTCTCAACTCTCCAGTGACTGGCCACAGAAAGCTAAACATTAAACACCTGAAGTATCATAGCTTGCCACACGGTCCTGTCAGGGATGTCCTGGGTGTCTCCAGAAATCTTTAGCCATGACTTTGATCAGAAATAATTTCTTCCCAGATTCAATGAAAACACTGGAGATCCCTCATTCTCCAACAATACCCCAAAAATGGCTCCGGTAGAAAAGTCATAGTACAAGCCGCTACCTATTACTACCTCGGTTTATCCAGTGCAATATCACTATCAACCCTCCATCTAAATGCCTGCTCCAGGTGCTTTACAGGCTTGGTGTCACATAATCCTTTCAATGATCCTATGCAACAGATCTTACTGACAAATCCCGCTTCATGTTACAGATGGCAAGACCAAACTTTGAAAGGAAAATGGTTCACCCAAGAGCTTTCTTGTTAGTGCCTGAGGTTGGACTTCAGCTCAAGACTTTGGGATTCCAAAGACCCTGCATTTTACCAGGATACCAAATTGTTCCTCTGAGAATCCCAAGTGAACAAAAAGAGCCAACATCGATTATGCCCAGCACCGTGTGCTACATGCTTTTTATAAACTATTTCATCTAGTTCTTTCATGTAGTTCAAACAAATGAAGAAGTAAAGAAAACATCCTGGAGGCAGGCATTGTTGTTACCGTTCCTATTTTACAAATAAGGTAGGTGCTGGGTGCTGTGGCTCATGCCTGTAATCCCAGCACTTTGGGAGGCTGAGGGGGGCGGATCACCTGAGGTCAAGAGTTTGAGACCACCCTGGCCAACACGATTTGGCAGGCACAACTGATTGATTGTGGTGGGGATTTATCTTCCCAGCTGAGGAACCACAGGGCAGAAAGAGACCAACTGTCCTTCACCTCTGTCTTACCTGGTACTGTTTAGAACACAGCTGAGCTAGGTTTCTAGTTTTAATAGAAACCCAGTCTCTACTAAAAATACAAAAATTCACTGGGTGTGGTGGCAGGCACCTATAATCCCAGCTATTTGGGAGGCTGAGGCAACAGAATCACTTAAAACCAGGAGGCGGAGGTTGCAGTGACCCAAGACCATGCCATTGCACTCCAGCCTGGGTGACAACAATAGATTCCGTCTCAAAAGCAACCAAAAACCAATTAAGGAAGGTGAGGCCAAGAGCAAGGAGGTCCACAAAGATCACACGGAGGTTAAGTGGCAGACCTAAGCTCAAAATCAGACCTTTCTGTCTCCAGACCTCCAGAGCCCAGGCTCTTATCTATTAGGCTACGTTGCCTCTCAGCTGTCATTTAAGGGAGACTATGGGGATGTAGGGCTGGGAAGGGGGAGCAGGTTAGCCATAGAGAACTGGTGAAAATGCACCATAGGACCTGGTTCATTCACACCCCTAGCCATGCCACACGAATTGGAGGTGACTTCGTATACATGGTTTGTTTTTCTTTTTTTTTCTTTTTCTTTTTTTCTTTTGAGGTGGAGTCTCATTCTGTTGCTCAGGCTGGAGTACTGTGGCATGATCTCGGCTCACTGCAAGCTCCACCTCCCGAGTTCACGCCATTCTCCCGCCTCAGCCTCCAGAGTAGCTGGGACTACAGGCGCCCGCCATCACGCCTGGTTAATTTTTTGTATTTTTAGTAGAGGCGGGGTTTCACCATGTTAGCTAGGATGGTCTCGATCTCCTGACCTCATGATCTGCCCGCCTCGGCCTCACAAAGTGCTGGGATTACAGGCATGAGCCACCGCTCCTGGCCAACATGGTTTGTTTTTCTAACTGATTATCTCTCCGTGGAGGCCTGTAATTGTTTCTGTCATATTTTACTGAGCATCTCCTCCCCCTACTGAATTACCCAATTCCTGACAAGTTCTCTGTTCAAGGTCCCCCTCCGCTGTGGCCAGAAGCCAAGTTCTACTGGGTGCACATTCCTGTGGATCACCTGATCAGAGAGAACTGAACCTACAAAAGAGAGCTTAACCTCCTTTTCCATACCTACCCAGGACCTAGCTCAGCTGTGTCCTAAACAGTACCAGGTAAGACAGAGGTGAAGGACCGTTTCTCTCTCTCTTTCTGCCGTGTAGTTCCTCAGTTGGGAAGATAAATCCCCACCAAAATCAATCAGTTGCCTTCCAAATTCTGGTGACCTGAAACAAAGCTATAATTCTAGCAATTAACCAAAAACATGCATCCGTTTCAGGGAGAAACTTTTGGATACACAACCAATCTATTAGCTATCTCTTTCCAAGGAAGGTGGTGACTTGAGAACTCTGTGCCCGGTTTCTGAGGACTGTTTCACCATGCAGTGGCTGATGAGGTTCCGGATCCTCTGGGGCATCCACAAATCCTTCCACAACATCCACCCTGCCCTTTCACAGCTGCGCTGCCGGTCTTTATCAGAAATTGGAGCCCCAAGATGGAATGACTATGAAGTACCGGAGGAATTTAATTTTGCAAGCTGTATTCTGGACTACTGGGCTCAAATGGAGAAGGTAAGAGGACCGCCGTGATGGTGATATAAGAACAAGGGTGGCCTCACTTTCCTTATCTTGCTCCTGCTAGGTTGAAAGGTACAGAAGCAAAATTGCTTCTGCCTCAATTTATCAATGTTGTGGAAGAAGCTTATATTTCAAGTTTCTATTCCCAGCATGGCCATTTCCTTATTTCACTGAGCCTCAGTGGTTTCATCTATGAAAAGGGGAATTAACTCCTTTAAAAACAAAAAAAATAGGTAAATGTATCTTTTGTTCAATCAGGGTATTAAAATTGTGACCTATTGTGGGATCCGGCCAGCGGCCCACAATGCAACGGGGCTCTCTCTTTGTTCCCAGGTGAATCAGCAGGTAGAGAAATAATAGACACACACAAGATAGTGAAAGCTGGGTCCAGGGGGGTCACCACCTTCTGGTCCCACAGTGCCAACAATGCACTGGATATGCCAGCATTTATTATTAAGTTTAGTGAGGTCAGGGGTAGGTTAGTGAGGGATTTAGGGTCATTTGATTATGAGGTGAGATGGTCACATGGGGATGAAGTAATTCTTTAACATAACATCTGTATGCAGAAGTACAGTGTACAGAGATAAGAATTTACAATATAGTGTGTGCATCAGTAATTTCTAACATAGCCTTAAAACAGGAACAGCAGTAACAGTTACAGCAAAAGCTGGTTACAAATAATTCATAGGAACAGGACGTGAAGTTAGACCAGAAATTCTCAGAAGGGAGCATGCCTTAACCCCAAAGAGGCCTAGAAGAGCCATGGCAAGATGAGGGCATTTATAGCCCTATCTTCCATATGGACAGGCGCCCGCCATGCATCCATTTATAGGCTCTCCACGAGGGTCGTGTTCCATTCCCAGAGCTATGAACATCTGCTTTTCTGGGATAGGAATCTTGGTGATGTGAAACCTCCCCGACTGCATATCCATTCATAGGCTCTCTGCAGGGGGAAGCACATCACGCGCTGTTGGCTCATTCTGGCAGTCCAACCTGGCATTGTCTTTACACAATCCTGCGTGCAATTTTGTATTTAAAATAATCAGGAGCATTTAATCTTTTATTCCGTAGCAATAGTTTCAAGGGGTCTCCCTATAGTGACCAAGTGCAAAGTTCTGATCACAAGGTCAGCAAATTCATTAGTCTGAGTTCTCATCTTCAGTGAATGGGACAGTGTGTCTTAACTGGTATTCATGTCATCAAACTTGGGCTTGACTTGAGACTGCACCCAGAGGAGGAGATAGACCACCTGAATGTGCACATGAGTGTCTGACACATTTACCTATATTAGGCCATCCATCTTCCCATGAGCATGGCAAGTCTAATTAGATTCCTCTTTGTCAACTACCTACTTGACTGTGGCTTTAAGGTATGTCAAGAAAAACCAAGCTCTGTGTCTTCCAGAAAACCCCAAGTGCTTGGTTTGTCTTCTCACAGGACACAGACCAAGAGAGAAGCTGTAGTGACATGAGGAGTCAGGGTAGACAATGGATGGTGTTTTCAGCTACTAACTCCCAGCTGCCAATATGGTAGTGTAAAAAGTCACCCAGCACTGTCTTTAAACCAAAGAGAGAATCCCCCTGAAATGGAATTGGAGAGTTTATGAAATTTTTAAGTGTTTCATGAACATGTATTCATGTATTACTCTCCAAAGCCTATATGTCTTTATGACATCTTCCTCCCCACTCCCTTCTTTTTCTTTCTCTGAATTTGCATAGTAACCTCAAGAAAAATAAAACCGTCAGTTACAGAAAGCATTTTTATGTGCCTTGACAATCACCTTGCATTTAATAATCTGATTCGATGGATACTGTTATTGTCTCTATTTCCTTGATGAAGAAACTGAAGATCCAAGGATATAACTAACATGCTGAAATCACATGTCTAATAAGTGGGACAACAGGGTTTGGGTCCAGGCCGTCTGATTTCACAATCCATTATTTCACCTAGTCTCACAGTCTAATGATGCCAAAATATCTCCGCCTTAAGAGTATAAATTGATTTTTTTCATTGCCCAGACTGGAAATCTGGTTGAGAATTTTTGAAACATGACATGGGTTGGAGAGGAAGGAAGTAAAAGGAGGAGGTGAATGGGTGAACATGACTATATAAACTTGAATAATATAAACACAATTTTGCTTTTCAAAATTAATATTATACTATAAGCATTTTATTGTAGAAACAATTCTAAAAGAGCATGTAGTTGGATTTTATTTTTTTATCCATTCTGCCAATCTATGTCTTCTGGTTGGGGAGTTTAGTCCACTAACATTTAAAGTAATTGCTGATAGACAAGGATTTACTATTGCCATTTTGTTAATTGTTTTCTTCATGTCTCATAGCTTTTTTGTCTCTCATTTCCTCTCTTACTCCTTTGTGTTTAGTTGAGTTTTTGTAGTGATACACTTTGATTTTCTTCTCATTTTCTTTTGTGTATATTCAATAAATATTTGCCTTGTGGTTACCACGGGAATTAAATATGATATCTTGTAGTTCTAGCAATCTATTTAATACTGATAACAACTTAACTTTAATCACATACAAACACCCTACTCCTGTGACATTATAAGGCCAATAATGAAAATTAAATGTAAAAATCCTTCTCCTTTACAGTTCTATCCCAGCCAGCCCCCACACACACTTTATGTTATTGATGTCATCAATAACATTTTTGTATATTGCTTAAGTAACATTTATTTAATATATATTACAAATATATGTTAATAAATTAACATATTTATAATTATTTTATGATTTATTTTTTAAATACTATAACAAATAACAAGTGGAGTTACAAACCAAACTTACAATAATGTTGATTTTTATATTTGTTCATGAATTTATATTTACAAGAGAACTTTATATTTTCATATTTGAGTTCCTCTCCAACATCCTTTTATTTCACCTTGAGGACATCCTTTAGCATTTCTTGTAGGGCAAGTCTAGTGATAGTTAACTTTGACTTTTGTTTATCTGGGAATACTCTACTTTCTCCCTCACTTTTGAAGAACAGTCTTTCTGGATGTAAAATTCTTGGTTGGCTTTTTTTTTCTTTAAGCACTTTAAATGTTTTAAAATGGGATCTCAGTCCTTACGTTGTGTTCACATCGGAACGTGACTATGGCTGTGGATTAGTTTAATAAGTGCTCTTTTTCTTTGAAGCAGAAAGTAACATATAATGTATGGTCTTGACCAGGAGGGCAAGAGAGGTCCAAATCCAGCCTTTTGGTGGGTGAATGGCCAAGGGGATGAAATAAAGTGGAGCTTCAGAGAGATTGCAGACCTAACCCGCCGCACAGCCAACATCCTCACACAGACCTGTGGCCTGCAACAGGGAGACCTTCTGGCCTTGATTCTGCCTCGAGTGCCTGAGTGGTGGCTGGTGGCTGTGGGCTGCATGCGAACAGGTCAGTGATGCAAGAGGGACCTGGTGGACCTCAGGGCTGTTCAAGAGCCTATGTTTCCTGAGATATTAGGTGCTGTGCACCCAGCCTGGCACTGACACAGCTTTGAAGCCCTAGCCCCAGTTTCTGTGCTGGGACCACAAAACAAGGCTTCCTGCCCTCTGGGAATTAACAGTTTAGTTGAAGACAAAACAGTTTCTCTTATCTGTACCTCCTTTCTTCTTCACAGTCTTTGTCTTTCTCATATTCCCTCACAAATTCTTTTATTCTTTCTTATTCTCTCCCTCACACTCTCACATTCATACACTCTCAAGTGCAGTGCCAAACTTTCTCTCATACACACACACACACAAACACACATACACTTTCTCTTGCACAGTCTCAGGTACTCTTACCTTTTTAAAGATTCATTGATTGTTAACATTTTTCCCATATTTGAGCACTCTCTCACTCTCTCTTTCTCTCCCTTTCTCACTGAATTATTTAAGAATCACTTGTGGGCATTGTGACACCTATGAACACCAGGTAAACACTCATAAACACAAAAGCAGGCATCTGATAAGATCCAGAATATTCCACAGCCTTTTCTGCATGACAGTGACATTTTTGAAGAATACAAGTTATATTGTAGAATATATCTCCAAATTTGTATTTCTGACTCTTTCTTTGTGATTATATTCAGATTAGACACGTTAGGCAGCAGAATTACAAGGACAAAGTTGTGTTTTCCTCCGTGCATCACATCAGGGGGTATATTCTGAAGTCAGTTTGTTCCCTCTTCAGTTATACTGTTTCATCACTTGAGTAAGGTGGTTTTCACAGAAAACCTTTATCCTTTACAAAGGCACAAATTTTCCTTGTAATTAATAAATAATTCATGGTGTGATCCTTAAGCGATTGTGTGAATATTCCTGTTCCCTAACTGTATTCCACATTATGGTTTGGGTATCTAGTGATGATTCTTTACTGAATTGAATATTACCATGTTGGTTTTACCTGGAAATTTTCAATTTCTGTCAGTCTCTCTACATTTATTCGTTAGAATTCTTATGTGGCAATTTCCCTTCCCCTTTTAATGACCTATTTTTTTTCTGTATAAATTAGAGTCAGTGACTCACAGATTCTTTCTTGAATCACTTCTCTCATTTTATCATGTGTACAGCACTCTGCCACACTGTTGATCATATTTTCTCTCTCTCCATCTCATATTCGCTCACAAATAAAATAGGTGATTCATTCAGCCAGATCATGTGAACTCAAGAAGTAATAAAACTGGTAGAAGGAGTCTAGAGATGAAAAGCCATGTCATCTGTGGACCTATAAGATGGTCCATGGGAAATCTAAGACTTGGCCAGGGGTGGTGCCTTAGGCCTATAATCCCAGCACTTTGGGAGGCCAAGGTGGGCGGATCACAAGGTCAGCAGATCAAGACCATCCTGGCCAACATTGTGAAACCCCATGTCTACTAAAAAAAAAAAAAAAAAAAAAAAATTAGCCGGGAGTGGTGGCAAGACTCCATCAAAAATAAAATAAAATAAAATACTTGAGCTGAGCCCTCTGGGATAAGAAAAATTAAAGAGGATTAGAAACAAAAGAAGGGCATTCCAAGCACGGGGTGAGGGGTGGCCATTTTGAAATAGAAAATAAGTTGTGGGAGACAAAGATGGAAAGAAAGCAGCGTCTTCAAAGTTAGGATGAGAAGTGTGGTGTTTTCCTGGAGAGAGGGCACAGGTGTTAGTGCAGAGGAGAAATGTAGAGAGGCCAGGCATGGTGGCTCACACCTGTAATCCAGCACTTTGGGAGGCTAAAGCAGACAGATCACTTGTGGTCAGGAGTTCGAGACCAGCCTGGCCAACCTGGTGAAACCCCATCTCTACTAAAAATAAAAATTAAAAAAATTAGCTGGGTGTGGTGGTGGACACCTATAATCCCAGCTACTGGAGAGGCTGAGACAGGAGAATTGCTTGAATCCAGGAGGCTCAGGTTGCAGTGAGCTGAGATTGCACCACTGCACTCCAGCCTGAGTGACAGAGGGAGACTCCATCGAAAAAAAAGAAAGAAAAAGATAAAAAAGAAAGAAAGGAAGAAAGAAAAAAAGAAAGAAAGAGAGAAAGAAAGAAGGAAGGAAAGAAAGAAAGAGAAAGAAAGAAAGAAAGAAAGAAAGAAAGAAAGAAAGAAAGAAAGAAAGAAAGAAAGAAAGAAAGAGAGAAAGAAAGAGAAAGAAAAATTTAGAGGGGGAAAAAAGTCAGTGTTTATGGAACTAAGCAAGTAATAATATAGAAGATGGGTAGCAGAAAGATTCAAAACTGCTGGCGGGATGAGAATCCAGAAGGAAACACGAAGACTTGAGCTCATTGTTGGCGATGTAGATAGAAGGGAACACAAAAAAATTCAAAGGACAATGTGGTGAAATGCAGAATGAAGGAAAGAGGGGACATTCAAGATGACATCCAAGGAATGACAGAAAGGGGAATAAGAAGGGAAAGACTGGGGAGAAATGCAGCTATTCTTAATGTCAGAGACATTGTCCTGTTTACATCTATACTTCCAGATCCTGTGTAAACATGTGTAAAGCAGTGTCCACCCATGTTTTGGCTAGATCCATTTACAGTAGAAAAGATTAGGGCAGGACTTTCAAATTTTAATGTGCAAAAGAATCACTTGGAAAACTTGCTAAGACACAGATTCTGATTCTGTAGGTTTGAAACAGGGTATGAGATTCTGCACCTGGATAGTGCTGCTGCTGTTGTTCTGTGGTCCATACTTTGCATAACAAGAGGTTAGGGAATTTCAGTGCAGACAAGCCAAGCCTAAAGCCCATGATTGTGAAAAAGAAACCAAAACTATCAGTTCGTTTCTCATCCCCAGGGATCATTTTCATGCCTGCGACCATCATGTTGAAGGCCAAAGACATTCTCTATCGACTACAAATGTCTAAAGCCAAGGGCATTGTGACCACAGATACCCTTGCCTCAGATGTGGACTCCATGGCTTCTGAGTGCCCTTCTCTGAAAACCAAGCTCCTGGTATCTGATCACAGCCGTGAAGGGTGGCTGGACTTCCGATCGCTGGTTAAGTGAGTTTCCGGTCTGATGAATATGGTCTCTGAGTACAGGTGTTGTGGGATAATTTAGGAATCAGAGAGACTGATGGATTGAGGAGGATATATTCATTTAGGTGCACCGGCCCAGTCAGATTAACATCCAAAGGACTGAGCCCTGAATGAAGAGTCAGGTTACCTTTTAAGCATTTCATGGGGTTGGGGGGAGATCTGTGCAGGGGGAAGCATATTACAGAAGCAAGAATCAAAGACAGTTATTCAATTGAAACATGCATTACCTCATTTCTTACTTTTCAAGGAAAAACATGTTTTACAACTTGAGTTTATCTGTCTAGTGACCTTACAGCTGCACAGCTAGAGAAAGAGGGTCTTCACAATGCCTGGGAAAGGGAGAGAGAAGACTCACTAGCTACAGACAGAAAAACAGGCAGTTAATTTTTAAAGGACTCCACCTCTTTCTCTTCCTCAGGGGGAATTGGGTTTTCTTACATACAACTGAGTTTTTACTTACACATTCTTTAATTTCTTTAAATTCCTGTTCCATTTCCACCCTTTGGTGCTTTTTATAACAAAGGTGTTAATAGAAAGCACCACTATTTGCCACCTCTTTGCTGAGCTGAGCTTCTACTGGCAGTGGCTGATATTTGGTTAATGCCACGAACTGTGCGGTAGTGTGTTGAGTTATTACTGCCTCTACAGTTGACCGAATGCCCCTAATAAACAGGGGTAAAAGACAAGGGAGGATGAGGCAGATGCCAAGAATAAACAAAAACCCACCAATGAGGGTTTTGAATCCTCCAAAGGTTGGGAATCATCCTCCAAACAAAGAATCCAGGGACCATCCGGACCAAGTCTGAACTGGAACATGGGCCAACTTGTTCATTCTAGCTCTGATTTCCATGACAGCCTGGCCATTATTATCAATTGCTAGGCAACAGTTGGTTAAATTAAATTTTCCACATACTCCTCCTTCTGAGACTAAGCAATAATCTAAAGCCAATCTATTTTGATATATAGCATTTCTCATTTGTGTTGCTTGTATTGCCAGTAAATCTAGTGCCCTTGATGTTTCATTGGTTATAATTTCAAGGACTGCCTGCAACCTTATGATGCACTTGAGCATATAGATTGGGGTGTGGTACCCTCATGACCCATCTTGCACCCAGGTAGCTGGCCTATAATATTTAATGATTCTTTCAGGAGACCATTGATTTATCTTTCCAGTCTCCTATGTCCACATCTTTTTTGACGTTTGTGTCTATTTTTGTGATTATGCTCTTCTAGTTCTTCTTTTATTTTCTTCATTGACTGGATACCCTAAGAGTTCCCCTTGCTTTAGAGGAATTAGAAAGACAGATGGCTTGATTGTTCCTACACACGTGCCCCTGTCCATTTAGCTGGCAGTTGCCAATATGCCCATGCTCCACAGATCCAATATAGGCCAGAGGGTGCTTTCCAAGCGTTTGGAGCCTGTAGCTGATGCCACGTGTTGGTTAGGGTAGAGAATTGAGAGAAAGGATTTGGATCTGGTAAGCAGGAGTTGTTCTGGGCGTTTCTCCATAGAGTTTTCTTTTTAGTCTCATCATAATACTGTTGCCCTAGGCAGGTTGTTTCTCCTACTGCCTCTGTGAAAGCCTTTCCCCATTGGGCAATACAGTACTTTCCAATTTTGGAGGTTTTTAACAACCAAACACTGGCTGAGGCTGTTGGTTCACTGGCAGGGTTAGGTGAAGTGAAATTATCTTGTGGCATTAATTCCTTTGCTTCCCATGGCCACTGCTTCCCCATATTAGTTCCTCCACATACATAGCATGAGGAAATTCCTAAGCTGCCTGCTATGTTTTCAGCTAGTTGAGCAAATAAGTTTTGGTTGGTGGGGGAAGCTCAGGCACTGACTGATCCAAATGCTTATAGAATGACTTATAGACCTGGAATTGTGGGGTTGGACGTATTTGAGTCCTTCTAGTCTTTTTGACAAGTAGTATGTAGCAGGACGGGCTGCAGACAAAACCTCTCAGACACTGAGTTGTAGAAGGAAGGGCTCTATTCAGCTGGGAGCATCATCAAGCTACTGCCTTAAAATCTGAGCTCCCTGAGTGTGCAATTTCTGTCCCTTTTAAGGGCTCACAACACTAAAGATTTCACATGAAAGGGTCATGATTGATTTGAGCAAGCAGCAGGTACGTGACAGGGGCTACATGCACCAGTGGTCAGAGTGAAACAGGACAAGACAGGGAGTTTCACAATGTTCTTCTATACAATGTCAGGAACATCGGTTTCTAAGTCATGAGTTGATTTTTAACTACTAGGTTTAGGCCAGGCAGACCTGGGCCTGGTTCCGGGCCTGGCGCTGGGCTGCCTGTCTTTAGTTTTACTTCATTGTTTTTTCTTAAAACAGATACTGAGTATAAAACAATATAAAACAATATGAGAGGGTCTCTCTCTTTCCTCATTCCCCCCGTTTGAGACTCTCACTTTTTATTAGTGGGAGTTCTCACTCTTATTTTTGCTATTTATGTCTTCTTGTGCAATAGATTGATAGTGATTCATATAGTACACTTGTGCTGAAGCATTTTGGTGAACTAAGGTAGTGATGAAGCTTTTTTATCATTTGAAGAAGTACAGGTAGCAAACAAGGGAGCAGTAACGAGGTTTTTATTACAATTGTAACTTTTATTATAAGAGTTTTAAATCCTCCTAGTGCTAGGAACTAATTTTTAAACATGGCTTCAGGGTCAAATTTGTGCTACTCTTGTACGGGCACATGTGACTATGTCTTTAACTACTTGCCTTTGATTACTTATGTGTAGACAGTAATTAGTAAGGTTAAATTTCTTATAGACCTCTCTTTCTGCTGCTAGCATGTAGTTGAGAGACAATGTATTTTGATAGATAGCATTTCTTATCTGAGTTTCTTGCCAGGCCAGAATAGTCAAGGCGTGACCGATTTTATTAGTGGTGATTTTTAAAACAGTTGCAACTGTATGATTCAGTTGAGCATATAAATGGGGGTCCAGTATTCTCATGAGCTGTCTTGTGTCTAAGTGGCAGGCCTATAGTATTATATAATTTTTTAGGAGGTCATTTATCATTTTTTTAATTACCTATGGCTATGCTTCATTTTCCACGGGAAGCATAGACAGGGAAGCCCGGAAGTTCACCTGTTTTTATGGGCAGTAAGAAGAAAGATGGTTTAATAGTGCCAATAACACAACCACCTGTCTACTGGTCAGGCAGCTTAGCATAGGCTCTATGTCTACATATCCAGTATAACCCGGTGGGGGCAACCTAGTCCTGGTGGGATTCTGGGTGGGACTGTTTTTGTGGTACTGTTATACAGCTTTTGCCTAAGACAACTAAGCCACCCTACAGGATGAGTGAATCCTTTTTCTTTTCTAGCTATGCAATACTGTCTAATAATTGAGACTTTTAGAACCTAGAGATGATCAGGATGATTCTTTTGGGCCAGGAATTCATCAGGAACTGGGTCTGTAGGCACTAATTCTCGGGCTTCTTATGGCCATTGATCTCATATTACAGTGTTTTAATAAACATAACATGAAGTAACATTTAGAGATGGGCTACATGCTCTGCTAATTGCAAAAACAAATTTCTGTTTTTTCCTGGAGTCTCTGGTACTGGCACATTTAGTTTATTACAGAAAGTCTGAAATACTCAGTCTGGAGAGTGTCTTTGAACCTCTCTTTTTATCAGGATGCTTACGCTAGGATCTAATCTTTTTTAATCAATGCCTTATGCTACGTTGGTTTTTTTTTATTATTATTATTCTGAGGGTTTTGTGATTGCTAGTTTGAAAGGATTGCAGCTCCCACTCATGCAGGAGGGGCTGACTTTTTCTTCTTGGAGCTAAACAGGATCTTTTTTTTATTTAATTTTTTTTTAGGTAGCCCAAGTGACACAAGACCAGTATTGACACATTTCATATAAATACGATTCTTGACAGATATACTTACTTTCTGCTGTGTAACTTTTTTTTTTCAACCTAGAGAACCGCATCCCATCCCATGCTGCTTACTATTAATAGTGGCACAGGTGTCAAATTTTAAGGTTACATTTTAGGGGACCCCTCTTTCTTCTGTTCTAGCTATTACTTTACTTGTGTCACTTAGAAAAGGACCAGAACTTAATTTTATTTTAAAAACTGTGATCATGGGAGGCTTAAAATGGGTCATAACACACATCAGGTTGGTTATTTCCTAGGTTACATACTTTGGATAGAATAGTATTATACAAACAAGTTTCTTTTAGAGTCCTGGGACACTTATAACAACTATAAAATAATAGGACTGTAGCAATCTTTTGTCCTACCTCAGTAACTTGACGTATATACTGGGAACAGCCCTCAGTCTGAGGAAGGCCAGTTGAAGTCCTTACTGTACAAGTCCAAATTTTAAGGAAAATGAGTCCCACGATGAGTTTCCTCATGCTTCGGCCATGCGTGGACCAGTCAGCTTCCAGGTGTGACTGGAGCAGGGCTTGTCGTCTTTTTCAGAGTCACTTTGCAGGGATTAGCGAAGCTGTTCCCATCCACGTACAGCTCCCAGTCTACAGATGTTTAAGGATGGTCTCAGAGGTTAGGCCCACTAGAATAAACTGAGTCCAATGCTTTTACACAGTTATGTTTAACTGGAATCTTTGATACCAGGAGCAAGGTGGCAGGTTTAGGGTGTTGCAAACTTTAATGGTTATGCGGGGATTTTTTACAGAGCAAGCTTTGGTATCTAGTTAGTCTAGCATTGATTAGCTAATGGTGTCCTTTGGTATTTATTAAAATCACCACAGCATGGGGGGCCTTTATATTTAGGTTTTGCCTAAGAGTTAGCTTATCTGCTTCTTGTGCTAACAGGGCCATTGCTGTCGGAGCCCTTGGACATGGGGGCCAGGCTTTGGAAACCCCATTTAGTTGTTTTGAGATGGGCCACTGGCCTTGGCCAGGACCCTACAGTCTGGGTTAAAACTCCAACTGCCATTTTTTTTTTTTTTGACACATAGAGTGTAAAGAGTTTTATCAGGTCGGGTAGCCTCAGGGCTGGGACTGATGTGAGTTTTTCTTTTTAACTTATGAGAAGCTCATTGCTGTTGGTTGTAATAGATGTAGTTTATTTAATATATATTTTTATTGACTGTCATTTACCAAAATATTGATTTAAATTCTGTAACTATTTGATCTCAAGCTTTAGATTGATCTGGTATTTCTTGTGGTTAATTTCAAGGTAAAATTGATCTGGTATTTCTCCAATTGCATCTAAATAGATGTCAGAGTTGAAAGACCTGTAAGAGGCTTCTCTCACTTTACGATGTCTTGTTATTATTATTATTATTATTATTATTATTATTTCTGATTGACAAAATGCCAGGGTGAAAAGGCATAGCCAAATGGACTAAAGTGCAAGTGCCACTCCAGTTATTCGGCAGAGTGTCCAGTAAAGGTCCACCATGATACCACCACACATCCGCTCAGGGATGAACAAGGGCTGACTGATTGACAAGCTCTTGAAAATTCTTAAGCTCACTGCATCTCTTCAGGTCTCCAAGGAATGCTAAGTTTCCTCCTTGCCGTGAGAGACACGAAGTGAACTTAGTGTTGGGAGACGGAAGCTGGATGGCCCTCGGGGGCTGACCCGCAGGGTGCTGGACTTCCGGATATAGCAGAAAGAGCTTGACACGACTTATTACTCCAGGCTGTAGAATCCTGGAAAAGAGCTACCATGCAGCCCACCCCTGGTTGACTGGAGAACCACCTTAGTGGAAGAGGGACAATTAGGGCCTCTGGCCTGCCATGTGCACAAGCATAACAATTACTTTCGTTTAACGTGCAGATGGAATATTTGATCCATTTCAGCCAGGCATTTGCATCTTGGTATGCTGTCTTAATTGCCAAAGTTTGTTTTAAGTCTTTAACTTCTATGATCTTCTAGTAAAATGAACGTTTTCTTTAGCACCTATTTTTATTAGTTTTTAGACCGAAAAAAAAGCTAAACACCATTTTATATTTAATAATGCTGTTTGTATGATTTTTATACCAGCTAAGCTAAATTTTACCTTTATATTAGTGTGTTATTAATTTTAATAAAACCTTGTAAACATATTTATCCAATTTTTCATGTTTGATCATAAGGTAAGATTTTATAGAATCTTTTTAATGTTTTATAATTTTTGACGCACAGAATTTTCTTTACAATTAACGTTTTAAAACCTGCTAAAACTTTAAAAACAATGATTTTTTAACCTCTTAATGTAGGTAAAAATCTACATTCTTATGCCTCCTTATAATCTTTTTACCAAAGGTACATTTTACTTTTCTTATACACCTTGCACATAAACTGTTTCTTCAATAGTACTCAGGAGGCCTTATTACTTTTAAATTACATATAAATTACATGATATTTTTGGCATGAAGTTTTTTTATAACTTTTTTTCTTTTATGACTTTCACAGACAGTTTTTTTTGACATGTCTCAACTTTCTGACTTATGAACATTTTTTTTAAAAAAAATAACAAGTTAATTTATTTCAGGACAAGAATTTACTATATAACTTTTTTTTTTTTTTTTTTTTTGAGACGGAGTCTCACTCTGTCGCCCAGGCTGGAGTGCAGTGGCGCGATCTCTGCTCACTGCAAGCTCCACCGCCTCCCCGGTTAACGCCATTCTCCTGCCTCAGCCTCCCGAGTAGCTGGGACTATAAGCGCCCACCACCATGCCCGGCTAAATATAATTTTTTTACTCTCACCCTTTCTCTCTTTCTCTTCCCCACCCCTCATCACCAAGGTCACAGAGTTTAATTTTAAAAAAACAAGCTTAGCAGTCTGGTTAAGGGCACAGACTAGGGTGCAGACTGAGTTTGAATCCTGGCTCTGCCACTTGCTAGCTGTATATTACCAAGCAAATTACCTAACCTCTCTAAGTCTCAGTTTCCTTACCCGCAAAATGGACATGATTAGAGTAGTACTCACCTCCTAGGGTTGCTCTGAGTACTGAATGATTCATATTTGTAAATCACTGAGAGCATTGCCTGGAACATAGCAAGTGCTATTTAAATGTTCATTAAATTACTTAAAGATTCGTTGTATTTTACCAATTTTTCAAATAAAAAAATGCTGGTCCACATGTCCAAATCACCCATCAAGTCCCTGTGATGCCTAACACCGCGAGAGCCAGTTTTCCTCTAGTGTTGCAAACTCCCAGTTTCCCGTCCATGCCTTATGTTTCTTTTGCTTCCCCAGAAGATGAAGAAACAGCAATAATGACTTTTTTTCCTTTTGTCTTGAACCCCTTTGCAGATCAGCATCTCCAGAACACACCTGTATTAAGTCAAAGACTGTGGACCCAATGGTCATCTTCTTCACCAGTGGGACCACAGGCTTCCCCAAGATGGCAAAACACTCTCATGGGTTGGCCTTACAACCCTCCTTCCCTACAAGGTAGGAAAGAGGGCACCGACATAGAGGCTGGATCCCAGATGTGGGATAAGTGTGTGTGTGTGTGTGTGTCTTGGAAAAGGAGCTGTAAGTAGAAGTGACTCCATTCTCCTTTTCCCTTTCACTGTCTTTGGTTCAGACCTCTCAGGGTCTGAGAGGTGAAGGCTGGGGGTCCTAAATGTTTGCTGACAGAGGCCTCAGAGTGACAAAGGAGGCACGTTTAGGTTCTATCAGAGCATCTTCATAGGAGGTGTGAGGAAATGTGGGTAGAGACAGCACACATTCCACAAGCCACACACATGACAAACCTGACAGGGCTTGCAGACCTTGTAGTAGATTTTGGACTTTATTAGGAAAATAGTGGGAAGATACTGAAGGTTTTTTAGGGAGGAGATCTGATCAAATCTGTATTTTGATAAGATCACCATGGCTACAGGATGGAGGATGGATTGGAGAAAGTTAGAATAGAGTTAGGGAAAAGCAGTTAAAGGCTCCTAGTCTAATCCAGGTGCAAGCTAGTAGGGCATGGACCAGGTGCCAGAGATATGATGGAAATTAACACAGTTGAGATTTTAGGAAATAGAGTGCACCAGATCTGCTGGATAGACATGGGAGATGGGAGGAGGTCAAGGACGATGCCAAAGTTTGGGGCTTGGACAACTCCATGGACAGGGATGACATGTCTGGATACAGAGAACACTGGAGGAGAATCAGTTCAAGAGAGGTAGTATGATTGAACCAGTTTCAGTTGTACGTAATCAGGAAATATTTGGCAGTACACCTTTGAGACCTGGGCTGAGGGTGGTATGGAGCCCCACACAAATCACATGAACTGAGAGTGAGAGGGGTGGGTTCATAGCTAAAAACCAGAGTGCGGAACGCCCTTCATCACATCGGCCATGATCACACAGCTGAAGCCACTGCATTTTGGAGTTAGCAGGAAAATACGGAGCCTGAAGACATCTGATGTCTCCTGGTGCCTGTCAGACTCAGGATGGATTCTGGCTACCATGGGGACCCTGGTGGAGCCATGGACAGCGGGGTGTACAGTCTTTATCCACCATCTGCCACAGTTTGACACCAAGGTCATCATACAGGTAAGAAGACTCAACTTCCACTATCAGCAAAATTCCAGAAAAAATCCATGTTTCCAGGCCAAAAGCTGGACCTTGCTAAAAAAAAAAATAATACTTTATTAAGCAAAGAAGCCTATGAGCCTAAGATGATCCTGTGCCTGGGCTTCTCAAAGTGTGAAGCACTGAATCTGAGTCACTATACCCGAGTGACATCAAATCGTGACCTTGAAGAAAATGCATATTACCGGGCCATCCACCAGACCTGTAGATCAGCCTTTGTGGACTTGGGACCCAGGATGTGCATTCTGAAAAATTAAAGCAAGCACAAGTCCAAGTCTCCCAGATCCTGGACCCTGATGCTGCCAGGGACAAGCAGCTGGTGTGTGTGTGTGTGTGTGTGTGTGTGTGTGTGTGTGTGTGTTCTTACTCAATATGATGAAATGTTTAAAAACAGCCCTTGGAATATGACAGATCTAGCTTCTTATCCCTCCTTTGAAATTAACTAGCAGGTTACATACCACTCTGAGCATCAGTTTCCTTATCTGCAAAATAGGACTTTTAATAATTACTACCTCATTGGTTGAACTAGTTTACAGTCCCACCAACAGTGTAAAAATGTTGCTATCGCTCCACATCCTCTCCAGCACCTGTTGTTTCCCGACTTTTCAATGATCACCATTCTAACTGGTGTGAGATGGTATCTCATTGTGGTTTTGATTTGCATTTCTCTGATGGTCAGTGACGATGAGCATTTCTTCATGTGTCTGTTGACTGCATACATGTCTTCTTTTGAGAAGTGTCTGTTAATATCCTGGTGATTCCTCAAGGATCTAGAACTAGAAATACCATTTGACCCAGCCATCCCATTACTGGGTATATACCCAAAGGATTATAAATCATGCCGCTATAAAGACACATGCACACGTATGTTTATTGCGGCACTATTCACAATAGCACAGATTTGGAACCAACCCAAATGTCCATCAATGATAGACTGGATTAAGAAATGTGGCACATATACACCATAGAATACTATGCAGCCATAAAAAAGAATGAGTTCATGTCCTTTGCAGGGACATGGATGAAGCTGGAAACCATCATTCTGAGCAAACTATCTCAAGGACAGAAAACCAAACACCACATGTTCTCACTCATAGGTGGGAATTGAACAGTGAGAACACTTGGACACAGGAAGGGGAACGTCACACACTGGGGCCTGTCATGGGGTGGGGGGAGCGGAGAGGGATAGCATTAGGAGATATACCTAATGTAAATGACCAGTTAATGGGTGCAGCACACCAATATGGCACATATACATATGTAACAAACCTGCACGTTGTGCACATGTACCCTAGACCTTAAAGTATAATTTTAAAAAAATTAAATAAATTAAATACCAAAAAAATGATTACTACCTCATAAAATCTTAGGTAATATTAATGAGATGATAGAGGCAATATGTGTAAAGTATTTAACCCTGACATCAGCACATAGAAAACACTCTATCAGTGGGAGCTGCTGCTGCTGTTTTTAAGATGAGTACATCATGATGACAATTTAAGTCACCTGCATGAACTCCTTCTCTATATGCCCCTTCACCCCAAAATTTTCTTTATGTCTCCACTCACATCCTTGCTTTCCCTCTCAGAGGCAGACCTTGCCCTCCACCTCTCAAAATCCACCCGTTCTGCACAACCACTGCAGAGTTCTATCTCCTGGCCTTGGAGAAACAGTATTTCTTTATTAATCTTTAATCCACTACGCATTTTCTCCTGTATTTTCAGTCTCTCACTTTTCGCTAGTTTTACACCCTCAGTCCATAAACATATTCAGTGTACTTATCCTAAAATTCCTCCCTTTGAACCTGTTATACACCGGGTCAACCCACCTTTTCCAGCATAATACTAAACTTCACCAAAGAATATTCTCCATTTGCTGCAGCCACCTCTGCTTCACCTAGCCTGCTCCTGAATACTGCAGTCCTCCAATGGTCTGCCCTTACTGTTCCTTTTCTTTCTAAGCAATTTCCTTCACCTCCGTTTTCCTCAGCAAGCACATCAATGCAGGTGGCTGTCAGGACTGTACCTAGGGTCTAGTCTCCCCGGTTCAAGCTGATTTTTTCAGGCTAGCAAAACATTTCCAACCTGCTAGTTGGTAAAGCCCATCTGATCATTCCTCCAGAACGTCAAACTGCACTTCCCATATCTCATTCCCTGCCTCTATATCAATGCCTCCTCCTGTGTCACCATCGTTATTTTCTGTACCACATTCTGCATCTGAGACTTAAAGCACCACAAACAAGACTGACCTCCCTTCCCACTCTCATGCCTAATTCTCCTGCTGCTATAGAGAGTGTCCCAAAAGGTCTTTATGTATTTTAAGCCTTAGTAAGTGTTTAAAGTTTAAAATGCTACAAATTTACCAAAAAAGCATTTGCATTACTATTTCCCGCTTACTATTTTTATGAATTATTCATAATAATTTTTAATTTATATATTGTATTAGTCCATCTTATTGAAGACTAAGACAAAAAGTTTTTTAAATTTTTGATTCAGAGGGTGCATGTGCAGATTCATTACATTGGTATATTGCATGATTCTGAGGTTTGGAGTAAGAATATTCTCATGACCCAGGTAGTGCATATAGTACCCAATAAGTTTTTCAGCCCATGACCCCCTCCCTCTCCCTCCCTTCTCATAGTGCCTATTGTTATCTCCAGCATCTGTTGTTTCCAACTTTATGTCCGTGTGTACTCAACGTTTAGCTCCCACTTATAAGTGAGAAAAAGTGATGTTTGGTTTTTTACTCCTGCATAAATTTACTTAGGATAACAGCCTCCAGCTTCATCCATGTTGCTACCAAGGACATGATTTCATTCTTCTTTACGGCTGCATAGTATTCCATGGTGCATATGTAGCACATTTTCTTTATACCAACCCACCATTGATGGGCACCTAGGTCAGTTGGATGTCTTTGCTATTGTGAATACCACTGCCAATAACATATGAGCCTATGTGTCTTTTTGGGAGAACCATTTATTTTCCTTTGGATATATACCCAGTAATGGGATTGCTGGGTCAAATGGTAGTTCTAAGTTTGTTGAGGAATTTTCAAATTACTTTCCACGGTGCCTAAACTAATTTGCATTTCTATCAACAGTATATAAGCATTCCATTTTCTCCAAAGCCTCACCAGCATTTATTTTTCACCTTTTAATAATCACCATTCTGATAGGTGTGAGATAGTATCTCACTATGGTTTTAATTTGCATTTATCTGATTAATGACGTTGAGCATTTCTTCATATGTTTGTTGGATGCTTGCATGTCTTCTTTTGAGAAGTGTCTGTTTATGTCCTTTGCCCATTTTTTAAATTGGATTATTTGGGTTTTACTTGTTGATTTATGTTCTTGAAGATACTAGATATTAATTCTAATTAGACATTACATATTGGAATCTACAAAGAACTTAAATTCTTTGTAGAATCTGGATATTTGATTCTGGATATTGTCAGATGCATAGTTTGAAAATATTTTCTCCCACTCTGTAAGCTATTTACTCTCTTGATAGTTTCTTTTGTTGTGCTGAAGCTCTTTAGTTTAATTGGGTCCCACTTGTTAATTTTTGATTTTGGTGCAATTGCTTCTGGGGACTTAGCCATAAATTCTTTGCCAAAGCTAATACCCAGAAGAGTATTTCCTAGATTTTCTTCTAGGATATTTACAGTGTAAGGTTTTATATTTGAATCCTTACTCCATCTTGAGTTGATTTTTGTATATGGTGAAAGGTAGGAGCCGAGGTTTATTCTGCTACATACGGCTAGCCAGTTTTCCCAGCACCATTTATTGAATAGGAAGTCCTTTCTCCATTGCTTATTTTTGTTCACTTTGCTGAAGACCACATGACTAAGAGCTGTGAGTTCTCTATTGTGTTCCATTGGTCTATGTGTCTGTTTTTGTACCAGTAATGCTGCTTTGGTTACTGTAGCCTTATGGTATAGTTTGAAGTTGGGCAACATGGTGCCTCTGGCTTTGTTCTTTTCACTATTCAAGCTCTTTTTGGTTCTATATGAGTTTTAGAGTAGTTTTTTTCTAATTCTGTGAAAAATGACATTGGTATTTTAATAAGGATAGCACTGAATCTATACATTGCTTTAGGCAATATGGTCATGTTAACAATATTGATTTTTCCAATATATGAGCATGGAATATTTTTCCATTTATTTGTGTCATCTCTGATTTCTTTCAGCAGTGTTTTGTAGTTCTCCTTGTAGCCATCTTTCACCTCCTTGGTTACATGTATTCTTAGGTATTTCATTTTTAGTAGTTGTTGTAAATTGGATTGTATTCTTGATTTGGCTGTCAGCTAGAACATTGTTGGTGTATGGAAATGCTAATTTTTGTACATTGATTTTATATCCTGGAACTTTACTGAAGTGGTTTATCAGTTCCAGGAGCCTTTTGGTAGAGTTTTTAGGGTTTTTTATGTATATAATCATATCGTCAGCAAAACTAGTTTGACTTCTTTTCTATTTGAATATCTTTTATTTCTTTCTCTTGCCTGATTACTTTAGCTAGGACTTCCAATTCTATGTTGAATAGGAGTGGTGAGAGTGAGTATCCTACTCTTTTTCCAGTTCTCAAGGGGAATGATTCCAGCTTTTGCCTGGTCATTGTGATGTTGGCTGTGGGCTTGTCATAGATGGCTATTATGTAGAGGTATGTTCATTTATTGAGGGGTTTTATCATGAAGAGATATTGGATTTTTTGAAAGCTTTTTCTGCACCTACTAAGAGGATCATATGGCTTTTGTTTTTACTTCTATTTATGAGATTAATCATATTTATTGATCTGCATATGTTGACCCAACCTTGCATCCCAGGAATAAAGTCTACTTGATCATGGTGAATTAACTTTTTGATATGCTGTGGGATATGCAGTTTACTAGTATTTTGTTGATTTTTGCATTTATGTTCATCAGGAATATTGACTTGGAGTTTTCTTTTGTCATTGTATGTCTGCCAGATTTTGGTTCCACAATGATTCTGGCTTCATAGAATGAGTTAGAGAGGAACCCCTTCCCCTCAATCTTTTGGATTAGTTATGGAGGGATTGGTACCAGTTCTTTGTATATCTGTTAGAATTCAGCTGTGAATCTATCTTGTCCAGGGTTTTGGGGGGTTGGTAGTTAGTGATTCAATTTCAGAACTTGTTATTTGTCTGTTCAGGTTTTCACTTTCTTTCTGATTCAATCTTGAGAGGTTGTGTGTTTCCAAGAATTTATCCATTTCCTGTAGATTTTCTAATTTATGTGCATCGATGTGTTCATGATAGTCTCTGAAGACCTTTTATATTTCTGTGGGACCATTTATAGCATCATCTATGTCATTTCTGATTGGGCTTATTTTGATCTTCTCATTTTTTTTTCTTTGTTAATCTAGCTATTGTGTATCAATATTGTTTATTCTTTTGAAAAACAAGCTCTCAGTTTCATTGATATTTTGTATAAACTTTTGCATCTTAATTTCAATCAGTTTTTTAATTTTAATTATTTATTTTCTTCTGATAGCTTTGGTGTTTGTTAGTTGTTCTTTTTTTTCCTAGTTACTCTAGAAGTGATATTAAATTCTTAATTTGAGATCTCTCTAACTTCTTAATGAAGGCATTTAGTGCTATAAACTTTCCTCATAACATTGCTTCAGGTGCATCTCAAAGATTTTGGTAGATGGTATCTCTATTTTCATTTTCATTAATTTCAGATACTTTTTTGATTTCTGGTTCACCCAAGAGTTATTCAGGAAAAAATTGTTTAATTTCCATGTTTTTGTATAGTTTTCAGTGATCTTCTTGGCATTGATTTCTGTTTTTATTGCACTGTGGTCTAAGAATGTACTTGGTATGATTTTGATTTTTTTAATTTATTGAGAATTGCTTTATAACTGAACATTCAGTGAATTTTAGAATATGTTCCATGTGGGAGCAAGAAGAACGTATATTCTGTGGTTGTTAGGTAAATTATTCTGTAGATGTCTATTAGGTCCAGTTGGTCAAATGTTGAGTTTAAGTCTATAATTTCTTTGTTAGTTTTCTGCCTCAATCATGTGTCTAACATTTTCAGTGTGTTGTTGAAGTCCCCCACTATTTTTGTTTAGCAAAGTCTTTTTATAGGTCAAGAAGAACTCATCTTATGAATCTAGGTGTTCCAATGTTTGGTGTGCATATATTCAGGATAGTTAAGTCTTCTTGTTGAATTGAACCCTTTATCGTTATATAATGCCCTCATTTGTCCTTCCTAATCATTGCTGGCTTAAAGTCTGTTTTATCTGATATAAGAATAATGACTTCTGCTCTTTTTTGTTTTTCATTTGCATGGCAGGTATTTCTCCATTTATTTGCTTTGAGCCTGTGGATGTCATTACATGGGAGATGGGCCTCTTGAAGACAGAAGACAGTTGGGTCTTTTATGTTTATCCATCTTGCCACTCTGACTTTTAAAGGGGGCATTTAGACCAAAAATAAATAAGTAAATACTATTCAAATTAGTAAAACAAAACATTCCTTCTATTTCCTCTCTGCCCACCCCTGTCAACTTAGTCCTTCTTGCCAAATCTATTGCAGGAGTCTCCTGCTGTCTGTTCCACACCCCTACTGAAAGCTGCAAAGCACCAAGAGGAGTCATAGATTACGACTTACATGATAATAGCCAGAGCCCACATTTGGTGAACACCTACTTAGTGCCAAGTTCTGGGAAAGACCTCAGACACCTATGATATCTAATTCTTACCTACTAAGCAGATCTCCTTTGGCTGCCAGTAACAGAAGCCTACTTCAAAATAGCTTAGTGGAAAAAGAAATACATGGAAGGGGGAATTAGAATAGCTCATTATTCTGTAGAAGAGCAATATGAGCTTGGTAAGGATCTAAAACAGAAACTAGAAAGATACTAAGAATCAAGGCAGCTTCAGTGTCTCTTCTGCTTTTCTCTATAGGTTTGTTTCCTTCTTTCTGTTTGTAGAACTACTTTTGCTACTTTAGGTGCACATAGTCAAACATAGCAATCACAGCATTTCAGGGCTGACATTCCCCCTTCCCAGATAACCAGTCCAGGTCAACTAGAGGCTGAGTGGTCCGAATGTTGGGGTGATCAGACCCAACATGAGGCTGTGGGGGCTACAAAGTCCGGTAGAGTCAAAGGAATGAGAAAAGACAAGAGTGTATAAGGTGGGTCCAGGGGGCCAACACTGATATGGAGGCTGTGAAGGCCAAGCTCTGGAAGCCCACACTATTTATTGGTGATCAAACAAAGAAGCAGGTGGTGAGGACATGTGGATGTGGTGGTAAAGAGGTGAGGATGTGAGGACGTGGGGGTAGAAAGGTAGTGGTGCATCAAGCGTAACTGTGACAGTTTAGCATTTTCTTTGATGCATATGTAAGATGCTCTGCTACCTGAGATAATGGAGAACATGTTTACAAGCCTGGGAGAGCAACCAACAAATCTGTGCATGAGGGGTTTTATCCCCTGAGCCCTGGATTCCATCCAAGCCACGAGGGGTTTTATGCCCTGGGCTTAGATTATGGTGCAGCAGGGCAGCCTTCCACCCTTTGGCACAGAGTTTGGTGTTCCAAAGGCCATGAGGGTGTTTAGGCCCTGGACCCAGGACATGTTCTAAGACTCTTTTACATCATGACAGACAAGCCAGTCCTGCCTCAGCTCTTCTACCAACACAGCCTAAGGTAATTGTCTGTCACCAAGTCACCAATCCAACTCTCTGTGCCTGGAGTGAGGTTACTGACACAGACATTGCTGGCATGGGCCTGAGACCTTCACAGACATGGAAAGACACCTGTTGGGGTAGGAGCAGTGGGCCAAGGGTGAGAGTAGGACAAACATTTTAAAAGCATATATAAATGTGAGATATTAAAGAGGTAGAGGCTAGAGATTGAAAGCTGATTGGGTCTATGAAGGGAGGGACTGAAAGTAGAGCCAGATTTGTCCACAAATGACAATTATATTTAATCATGATACTACATGGAATATATGGACATTCCCATGTTACAGATAAGGAAATAGAATTATGGACAAATTAAGGAAGAGGATTTAAATGAAGACACCCAAACCCACTTTCTCTTCTCTTTATTGTTCTTCACTCTCTTAGTGTATCTCCACGCTGATCTGAAACTTGAAAAGAGAATACATCCAACTAATTAATCATGAATACCAAACATTTTGTAGTCTAAATAACCTGACTCCAACTTACCTTATCTTCCTAAATTTAATTATTGCTCCTCTCCAGTGGATCCAAATAAATCATATTATTTGACTTGACTTAAATGTTTCTTTAGCTCCCGAGACCCTATTTCTTGTTATTTCATCTATCTCCAAGATAGTCCCTGTTTCTCTGCCTGTAGACACCATATCTATTTGCTAATGTCCTGACTAAATACCACCTCTTCCATCAAGCCCCCTGGGACACACAACTAGGAGTATTTCCCTCTCCTGTGTTCTTACAGAACTTTTGTACTTCAAATATTTCTTACGACATCTACTAACTTCTGCCTTATCATTCAAGTCCTGTTTTATCCTATTAGTGCCTACTCACCATAGGAGTTGGAACATTATCTCACTTTTTGTATTTCCCCAACAGTACCTGATGCATACCATGTATGAAATCCATGCTCAATATATGTGTATTTAAATGATTAAGAAATGAATAAGTGGGCTCTTCTAGAGGGAAGGTCAGAACTAGACTGCTAATAATTGGCTGTTAGTTTAATCTTAACTGTAAAAATAAAATTTCTTCTCTCTTCCCTTTCCAGGCATTGTTGAAATACCCCATCAACCAGTTTTATGGGGCACCATCTATATTTCGAATGATTCTGCAGGAAGATTTCACCAGGTATGGTAGAAGTGGCTTGTAACAACATCTTTGCGTAGGATTTTAAGTAATCTGATACATTATGGTCTGTTTTTCCTCTGGTTCTTTGGGGAGTGTGTATGTGTGTTTGTGTTAAGTGTTGGTGGCGATAATGATCGAAAGTTAATTAGTTAAATTAAAGCAGATCCAGAGATCCAAAGGAAACTCAGTGAGCCTTGCATGATTGTGGATTGATTCCTTTTTAAATATTTGAATTGTGAAATAGCAATTATACAGAAAATGCATAAGACAGAAATTTACAGATTAATGAATTATTAAAAAGAAAATACCTGTGTAACCATTCACCCAAGTCAAAAAAACATAACATTGCCAGCACCTCAGAGATTTCCATCTCCCTTAAAGGAAACAACTATCTTGACTTTTATGTTGTTAATTCCTTACTTGCCTTTATAATTTACCTCCTAAGGAACTATCCCTAACCAAAATTTTATTTTACATGTGTTTGAACTTCACACATGTAATGCTACATTATTACATAATAATTATGTTTCTAAGATGTGTCCCTGTGGTTGCATATTACTGTAGTTTATCTTCATTTTGTGCAGCATCCTATTTTATGAAAATGCCACAATTTCTTATACCAGTCCTACTATTAATGGACATTTCTGTAGCTTTCACTTTGAGGCTATTGATGATTAATGCTGCATAGAATCCTAGGACACACACACTGGTCTGTCCTAGGATTTGTTTGATGCATGCATTTCTGTAGAGTTTTTCAAGGAAAGGAATTGCGGGTCACACTGATACAACACAATACCACACGATCTTCCAATGTATGCTTCCTTATATAAGCAGGGCAGGAGAATTTCCATTGTTCCACGTTCTTGCCAACATTTGGTATTGTAAGACTTATTAATTTTTGCCAGGCTGTTGGGTGTGTGATGTTATCTTAATACAACTTTATTTTTGCATCTTCCTATGTGTGAGAGTTAATTTTAAGCTACACCAAAATACACTCTTTGAAACTTACAGGAATTTATGTATCTTTTAGGGACTCTGAAATTGAAATGGCTGCTTCAAAAAATCAGAGTTAACATGTTTTAGACATAGAAGTTAAAATATCAGAGTTTAATGATTGCCCTTACAGAGCTAACTCTGAATTATAATTTGATTTTACTGCTGAAGCTTCAGTCTGGCTGTATTCTGTTTTCATCTGTATTTCAAAGTTCTTATGACAGCCAAGTTTTGCAACATTCCTCAGATGATGGCCTTGGTCCAAACTCGGTACACATCTTATCAGGGCATAACTAATGACTCCATCTGAGACTCTGCCCACTTTGTGTACTTTGGTCCTCCGATTTGATGGTAATAGTTTTAAATATTAGCTTTTTGGATAATGGGGGGAAGACATGGAGTTTAAGGGACAAGATGGAGTCAGGCTTAGGGTTTAGTCTTTTTTAAAAAAATCCCAGATCAGATCTATGTTCTGAGCTATCGTGATCCGGGTCTTTAATTGTGCCTTTCCCTTTTGCTGTATCTGGCATAACATTTACAAGAAAATGTCTATCATAAAGATAGTGAAGATTTGGACATCCAAGGTTATAGGTGGCATCAGAGAGCAGTAAACGAATCAATCAGCCAGAATAAACACTGCATGAATCATCATATTCTTTGATCAGACTCACAGTGTGGTTACCTTACTTATTAAGAGTTATTTGAACCCTATGATAAATCTTATTTGGAAATTGGGGACCAACATTAACTCAGAATTTAATAAATTGTGTATCTTTTCTGGTCAATGTGTTTCCATAGATAAAGCATCCTGAGGAGGGTGTAAATTAAATGCAAGAAACATCGGTCCCTCGGTATCTAAATTGTTATAGACTTGTTAACAGTAGACGAATCTATTTTTTGCCACCACTTTTGAATTGGACCATATACTGGTATCTGGGAGAGAAAAGATTTTGTCACAGGAGAAGTCATAATTCTGCACTGTCATTTTTTCCTTGGCAGGACTGCCCATGGCTGAGGACCTTAGGAGTCAAAAGACTTATAGCCAATTAATTGTTCTAGGCCAGATAGGAATGGATATGGACAGGCATTCCTTACTTCTTAAAATTATTTTAAGTTAAAAAAAAAAAAGTTGGGCGTGGTGGTTGACACCTGTAATCCCAGCACTTTGGGAGGCCAAGGTGTGTAGATCACCTGAGGTTGGGAGTTCAAGACCAGCCTGGCCAACATGGTGAAACCCTTTCTCTACCAAAAGTACAAAAATTAGCTGAGCATGGTGGTGGGCTCCTGTAATCCCAGCTACTCAGGAGGCTGAGGCAGGAGAATTGCTTGAGCCCAGGAGGCAGAGGTTGCAGTGAGCCAAGATCGTGCCACTGCACTCCAGCCTGGGTGAAAAGAGAGAGACTGTCTGAAAAAACAAACAAACAGACAAACAAACAAAAAACCGGACAATAGAACCAAAAGACAAAGTTACAAGACTGGCTTCTTTTTAACTTTTATGTGTTGAGTTACTGTAAGCTTGGTTTCTGTTACAGACTTATAGCAATTAGCTATTCAAAATATGAGCATTGTTCTGAAAAATAATTTAAAATATGTATATTTGTATAGACGTATTTATCTTCACAACTTATAACTGGCAGTATTATACCCAGGAGGGTTTGTTACAAGGTACTTTATCCTGTTAGTAAATATATATATATATTTAAATTTTACAGTAAGCAGAAAAGTTTTGTGGTTGGGATGTATGCAAAAGTGACACATAATAGTTTAGAAGACAACTAAACTTGTTTTACCAGCTGTTTAGGCATTTTTTTTTTGTACCCTCTTCTTGATTTGGAGGGTTTGATCTTGTCCTAATTTTATCCCTCAAAGCTGGCCCTTACAATCTTACATTCCCACCTCTTCCATGATAGTTCCTGGGCCCAGAGGAAGGCAACTTGTACAATTTTGGAAGCAGAGCATTAGCAGTGAAATAGATCCAGGCCCAATGGGATGTCAAATGAGAGAGATTCATATGGTCTTCAGAATACCGTGATATTGGCTTCCTTAAAGTAAATAAGGAGAGATAAATAACATTTATAGTTTGACAGTTACGAGAGTTACTATCCTTCATTATAAAGCAACTCTTAAATGTTTCTTAACCAAAAAGAAACTTACATTTTTTTGAGAATTGACATCTTTGTGTTTATAAAATGTTAACAAATGCATATTTTGTGCTTCTAGTATTTTAACTTTTTAGTCACCCAAATTTTCAGTTTGGGGGGGTTGGAGGGGGCAAAACCGAGGGTTAAAACATGACTTTAAGACTTTTAAATTACTGGAGAGTTTTAAGATTAAATTTACCAAATTAAATTTTTAGCACAGATTATCAAGGTTATGTAAATTAAAAGGGCATCTGAGCTAGCTTTTGCCAATCTGATAGGCACTTACATTTTTAAAGTTAGTTGATTAGAACTCTTTCATGTAGTTTTGAAGTGAAATATCACTTCCACATGACACATACAAATATGGAGATATAACAGGCATGCAGAATAAAAGACATGCTCAAAAGTTACTTTATTTGCCTGTTTTCAAAAACAATTTTTCTCCCTTACTTTACATAACTAGTAAAAGTTACAGGAGCCAACAAAAGGTGAAGGAGAGAGCCATCCTTCAAGGCCTTTTCAAAAGAGAAAGAATAGCACTTTTAAGATATCAATCTGAAGAATGTTAAAGAAACAATTAAAAATTGAAAAACTTCTTGCATTAAAAATAAGTCAGCCAGGCACGGTGACTCACACCTGTAATCCCAGCACTTTGGGAGGTCGAGGTGGGCAGGTCACAAGGTCAGGAGTTCGAGACCAGCCTGGCCAATATGGTGAAACTGTGTCTCTACTAAAAATAGAAAAATTAGCCAGGGGTGGTGGTACACACCTATAGTCCCAGCTACTCAGAGGCTGAGGCAGGAGAATTGCTAGAACCCAGGAGGTGAAGGCTGCAGTGAGCTCAGATCATGCCACTGCACTTCAACCTGGGTGACAGAGTGAGACTCCGTCTCAAAAAAAAAAAAAAAAAAAACTCAATATTGCTAATAAAATCTTGTTTTAACAAATTACTTAGTTTTGTACTAGTGTGTTTTTTAAAATATTAAAGACCCATCTCTAGAAAGATTATTATGATTATTTTTAGTTATAGACAATGGAATTACATAACTCCTTTAAAAATTTATTTTATTGATGTTATTATGACTTACATAGTACATTCACAAGTGTTCAGACTGTTTTATATTAAATACACCTCTTTCTTATACAATCCCATCATTTTTATTTTGAACAAAAATTTACCACACAAGATTCTTTCTTATATAAAATATCTTTTCTTTAAGCCTTTTTAAATTTTTTTGTCAAAAATACCTGTTCATTTTTATAACTTTCTTTATATCGCCCTTATTGCCTGGTTTACCTTGTTTCATATATAACCCTTAAATAAGGTTTGAATTAGACAAAGATATTTTACCTTTAATAAAAACGTTAAAAAATTCTTAAATTGGAAATTACCCAGATACTTAATATCAAATAATAACCTTAGATCCTAAATGACGACAAGTTTGTTTACAAGCATTTATTCCATTACATTTACCTGATTAATTTAGTAGTTTACCTAGATTATTTGCAAAAAAGTGATAGCCAATATTTTTAAAGTTATTTTTCTATTAACCATTTTTATAGCTGAGAATTTCAGGTGTTTACTTAAGTAATAAAACTTATAGTTACTTTTAAGGATATTTATACCAATAACTCAGTATTTAGCTGTTTTCATTTAAGCCAACAATGTTTCATAAGCATATACAATCAAAGATCACTCTGTCTTGGGCTGGGTTTTATAGTTTATAACACCGCAAATCTTATAGTATTCTGCGGGAATAAACATGAAACGACTTGATCAATAGGTGCAAACAAAATGCTAACAATTCTAAAGACATTGCTGATATTTGACCAATAATTTTAAAGCCAGCTAAATCTTTACTAAAA